ATCCTGCTCTTTACATTTTCCTCAGTCACATATATCTCCCAGGTACCAAAGCATACAGATGGAATAGTTGATTATATATGACATTTTCATTCTGTTTGTCACATACAAAAAACAGCGGAGCAGACAGCCTGCAAGAACACTGAGTATGCAACACTGAGTATGCAACAAGCCTTCTCCACCCTGCCCCACCCCACTGCTGCTTCCAAGGTGAATTGTGAAGGGAAACTCAAAATTAAAGATTTTTTCTGCCTGCATGTAACTTTCACGTCAGCCCTCGGCAGAAAATTGAGCTGAACTTACCTCATTACCACAGTCAGAAGCTCTGTGAGAGCCCTGCACGTGTTAGGCATTCTCCAAGGTGCACCAACCAGCCCCTGTGCGGAAGCGTCATGTGAGTCTTCATCAACAAAAATTCAGAAGCCAGCAAACCCTGCTAAGGTGGCTAAAGGACTCCCCTTGGGAGAAAGTGCATCGTACTGTCAGGATACATCTGCTCCTACAGAACTCAGGCAGAGGCCTCTTACTGATTCAGTGGAGCCGTGCTATCCCCCCAAACTATCCCCAACGTAAACGTGTTGAAGTTTTTAATAAGCCAGATTTTCTATGTGCCAGTTAGCATTCTCCAAACAAGGTTGACTTGGCAGCCTAAGCACAATGCAAAAATAACAGGGACGAAAACTCTCCCAGGTTTACAGTGAGCATTACCTCCCATTAAAAATGCTTTTAGAAGGCAACCTTGAATACTCCAGAACTGGAATCTCTCAATGCATCACTCCCCTTGTGAACCAGCATTCAATAAGTGGCGACTCTCCCACTCCTCCACAGCCTTGCACAAATAGCTGTGCAAAGAGGAGCAGCATTAGCCTAAGGTAGTCCACCAGCTGCAGCCTGCGTGTTTTTAAAGGTCTGTTGAAGCAGCACTAAGAAAGCAACACATTTCATAGGTCATGGAGAGTAACACATTTTTAATCTTCCCTTCATGCAGCTGTTGGGAAAATGCATGATTTGGCTCCACATCAGTTCTCACTTTTATCCTATCTGAACCTCAGAATTACAGGAAAGGACACAATAATGATTCCTTTTTTAATTTCCCTTGTTCTGTGTTCAGTAGCGCAGTCCCAATTAATTTATCAAGCACCTCATTGGCTATAGTTTGTGTTTTCCCGAGAGCTCTTCAGTCAGATGTTACGTGAAAATCATGCCAGCCACAAAGTTTGAAAAAAGTGAATCATAAAATCAAAAAGGCCAGTAAAAAAAACCTCACATTTTAAACAATACTGATGATTTTTAAGCCCGTGATTACATGCCACGAGTTCAAAATATCTGGGGGGTTTGCCTTATGATTCTTGAACATTTATGCTGGAGACACTGGCAGTGCTGGACAGATCCTAGGAGCCTCTCTGAGCAGAAATAATGTCTGGCAGACTGGTCATATCTTAAGAGAAATTTCTACGACTCCAACAGGACTGCTTTAAATTTCAAAGTCTTCCTTCATAACAGAGTGTAGCAACTTACCAAACAGAAACTGATCTCATTAAGTGACAGGTGATGTGTTTCAGCGATCAAAGCCTAGATTTAACAGTAGGAGCCCATGAGTCACGTCCACTGTTGCCATCCTAACGGCTCCTCGGATGCTTTCCAGAGCAATACATCCCTGCACGTTTGCTGTACCCAGCTCAGCCTGCAGCTCTGACAGTCTACTCCTAAGTAGAAGTCCAGCTGAAAGGTGATTTTCAGAGTGCCATTAAAACATTTAGTGACAGAAATATTCTGCTGACGCTGAGGATCCTGAAATTCTTTAAGCTCACACTATCAACAAACAGGATTTTGACAGACTAGTCAGATGTACAAAAGATGCACAGGCTCTGGGTCTGTGGGAGCAAATCACTGCACGCACAAACCTCCTGGGGTCAAGCCAGTGGCCACAGCGAGTGCTCTGCAAGCAGAGTGCCGAGTGCTTTGACGGTGCAGAGCCCTCAGTCTGCTGAAGAAACCTTCAAAGTCCAAGATTCAGCCGAGAAAGAGAGAGAACATCAGGAAAAAGGAGTGATTGAAGACATACCTAAGACCTTCACCATAAAACCACTCGTGCTCATTTGTCTGCTGAAGGTTAAGATGGAGAAAACATTCCTGAGCCAGGAAAACTGCCAGTTGTTATTTTAATACTTACCCAACTCAGTGTTTCTCCACAATCCACAAACAAGAAAACCAGAGTATCTAGGAGCATAAAACTACTTATTTTATACACTTGGGAACATAATCTAAGGAAGGGTTGAAGAGCTTCACTATCGGATTCTTTCGTAAACAAAATTTAAAGTACTGGTATTCAAACTGTTTAGGCCCTTGGGAATGCCAATGGAGTTTGACATTTTAGGTATTTGGCCATGGTTTGGCTGCACAGACTCTTCTGGCTCTCCAGCGACACCACAGTGTCCTGAAATTTGAGTCTTAGAGATCAAGAGTTGCTTACAGGCCGGTGGAACAAACCGGCTATCGATGAGCAAAAAGGCAAACACATCTGAAAGACGTGCTAAGGTTTCCTTTTCTCTGCAGGGAGAATTTATGATCGTTCAGGGTACAGTTACTCGATTTCTTCCGTGGCACGACTCAGACTGCTCAAACCCAGAACTGTTCAAATCTTCCGATATACTCCAGTGTCCATTCCTGCATTTACAGCTATTGAGAGAGAAGGCACATACTGTTATGCATTAGCTTCCCAAAATAGCTAACTACCAGTCTGGGTGGTTGACTGGGCTAAACAAATTGCAACCCAAGACTCCATCCTTAGCCTCCCCCACCCCCTATTAAAAGAAAAAAAAATGTTCATATTAGAAACTATCAATTATGAAGAAAATACTACATCCAGTTGAGAGCCAGCTATTCAGCAGACTTTTTATAAATAAATCCTGCTGCTGAGAAAGCACCAGTGCTTATGCAACCACGCACCAGTCCGGCAAGCGCGGCTCTGCTTGCGGCCACTGTTTTCAGTGGTCAGTGTTTCTATCCCAAAGGCAAAGACGACTTTCAGTCACTCCCCTTTGCACATTTAGTACTTCAGAATACAGGAGAACAGGCTTGGTAACATCTCCTTACGCCTTGCTTTGTGGCCTACTTGAGACCACTTTCCCTCGGAGCTGGCACTGCTGTATTTTTGGGGGATCAGCTGAGGCTCCGAGAGATGTGCTACTACTGATTCGCTCTTGGGATAAGTTGGACGCAGGAGCCCAAGTCTTCTGTTCTTGACATCCATCAATCTTCTGTTAAGATCAGAAATGAGCCCCACAGAAAAGAGGGGCATGAATGTCTGACTGACAAAAGGTCCTAATTCAGAACAAATAATGTCACGTATTTAATAATAAGCTGATGGGCTCATCTCTAATGAGCATCTAGGATTTTCCTACTGAATGCAGGCATCAACCCAGAAATTGGAACAAATTAAATGCAAAATTTAATACTACACTAAAGGAAATTGAATAAAGACAAACATACAACATTTATATGTGTACAGCCTCTGTTGATAATCTTCTTCATTTTGTGAAGTTGAAAGCTTATATATTCTTTCTACCCAAATGAAATCTAGGGCCCAAAGTCCTAGCCAGAAGCACAGTGACTTTAAACTATAGGCTTTCTGTTCACTTTCTATTTAAGAAAAGCTTCTGAGAAACTTTTGAGTAAAATACATTCTTTAAAGCATTCTGTATTTCCCTACTTGTAGTTTGTGCTTTCTACGCTGCGAATCTGAATTTTCAGCAGCCCACCAGAGAGGTCAGCTCAGGGAGCCAAGCCTGTAGCATAGACTTACAAACCTACGGCTCCTCCTGGCTAAGCTCACACCCACATGGAAGGAAGGTCTGTCCTACAAGCAAAAATCATTGGTAAGAAAAGCTCTGCCTGGAGCAGGCACCAGTGCACACAGCAGCCACGTGATCGAAACTGGCAGTAACTGCAAAAAAAAAAAGCACACCTAATATAGATCCAGCTTCAGTAAGCATGTAGTGCATTCTCTCTATTCTCCCAATATTTTTTCCAGGAAAGAAGAGACAAAATGTGACGGTCTGCTCTTAAAAGAAAACCAGATTTAAAATCAGAAAAACCATGGGAGGGGGCGGGGATGACAAAACCACGAAAACCACAAACACACACACATTCACACATTCATGTCTCCTAAATAAAGATGTACAGAAAGAAAATTTCCTTTCATTTTTCTAATTCACTTTTTCCTTAAAAAAAAGAAGATACTCAGAAGAAACACTCATTTCTTTCTCCCCCGAAGTTCTGTATCTAAAAAAAAAAAAAAAGCAGCATCCCCCCCCCAAAATGACCCAGCTACCTCCACAAAAGAGAACAGACAAACGCGTGATGAAATAGCATCATGGGTCTCTGGGAATCTGACCTTGGCCTCCAGACTGGCCTTCCCTTTGGCAACGCACAATGCTGGAGTGCCGGAGGAGGCAGCTTCTAGATGAAGCTTATTCAGGTAAAGAACATCCTCTGTGCCTAACAACTTATCTGTGTCAACTTACTTTTTTCTACAGAAATTGCACGCACACTCTTAGTTGCGAGAAATGGCCAGCGCATTGCTTCAGTAGCATGGGAGAAATATGGAGATCCTCTGGAAACTTCTGAATTTACCTGCAGTCAGACCTGCAGGTTGTACTACATTAATGTCATCTTTCGCACACACATTGCTGTTTCTCTGGTTTTTACAAAAGAAAGACAAAATATACGTTAAGACCTTTGTTCTGATGGTTTTTTTCAGTTCGAAATGTCCACCTGGGTCTAGCTGATGGTAAAGCAAAGCATCTTCTATTCTTCTGTTCATATATAAGCATGGTTATTCTCCAACCTGCCACCTGGAAGTTTCTGGCCTTTTCTATAGAGAATAAATTTTTACCTGTACTTTGAACAGTTATTACCTTAAAGAAAGAAGTATGGCATGTCTTTTGGCAGTGTAAGTTATTTTTTCTTGTACCTTTTCTGCTTTTAAAAAATGAGTCAAGTTTTATTTTTAATCACGCTTTTATTACCTTTTTCCAAAACCAAGCAAAAAAAACCCCTCCAACAAATCACATCCTATACTGCTATATTTACACCGTAGACTTCTTAATTTCTTATGTAAATATACATACTCTGAAGTAATCTGTCTTTAGAAAAGAATGCTATTTTTAGCATTCTGATGATGGATAAATCTTCATTATCAATGTAATGCTCTAAGAGAAAAGAAAATCAATTTTCAGAGTTGTCAAATATCAAGATAAGCATACAGATTAAGTCTATTCAAATTATTTGAAACAAAAAGAAACCTCAAATGTTACAATAACTTAAGATAGTGTACTACACCACACACATAACATGGCCAAAACTGATTATTTTTGATGGACATTAGTTAGTTATCACAATTGTTTTCCAAAGCAGGAATAAAAAATTTTTTTAAAAGTTTCAAACATGCTATTTGGAATATTCACTTCTTCTTGGCAATTAGTTTATCTTCATAGTTGACTGGAATTATGCCACTGCATTCTTCTGTCTTTGACACAGGATGCTTTATAAAAGCACGTCTAATTACATCAATATCACGTCCTAAATGATCCATCATGGTCGATACAATCGAAGGTGGGCCCTCTAAGTCTATCAAAAAATACCTGCAATGAGAAACATACACACAATAAAAAAAAAAATACCTGTACTGCACAACTTTAATTCAAGTAACTGTTCTATGGGATTTCTTAAATGAAACTTTCTTCTTACATTTTGGTACCAGAATTGTTTGAAATGAAAGCTCAGTATTATCTTGATTTCAAATAAGAAAAGTTCAATTGAAGCAGGCTCAGCCTGAACTTTTCTTTGTGGTACAGCACTGCTTACACAAGGAGATTAAAGAGAGCTTACTCTTCTTGTACCTATTCCATTCATTTCCACACCTTGATTTGAATAGTCTTTAAAAAAAAAAAAGGTAGGGTGGCACATTCATTTCAGTTACAACATGCATTCTCCTTCTTCGAATTCACAGCATTGTTTCTTCGGGAACAGATGCCAGTGCGAAACATCTCAAGCTTATATACATACAGGCACATTTCTTCCTTTAAAGTCCTGCTTCGGAGCTGAATGGAAAAACAAAACAGCAAAAGAAACCCAAGGAGATGGACTTATCCCAAATTAGGCACATCTCTGATGTGAACATGTCTTAGATTTTCAATCTGAGGGTGGAAGCTGAAGCCACGTACAGGCAATACCCACTTGCGCCGCTGGCACTTGACGAGCATACTGTCATATATATGGCGGGACTGAAAAGGTCCTACTTCCACACATGCAGAGCACGTATAAAACGCACTGCTCCAGGTAAGCACTTCACATCCACCACACAGCTATCTTTGACATCTATAAAGAAAAAGCCAACCGCCTACCTACAGCAAGGAGAACGTTGCTCCCCATTAATATCTTAGGTCACCGAGGTCACTTCTGCAATAAACTCCTTTGCTGAAGAACTGAACCCTCTTCATGAGCTCAGCTATAATTCTGCAAGAGGCTTTTAAAACTCCAGTACACCCAAACAAGCAAAGAGGTCTACTGCACTTCATGAGCCCCATTTCAGACAAGGGACACAACTACACACTGCGCATTAATTTAATCTCAGACATGCAAATTCAGATCCCATCTCTTAACAGGAGATGTACCTTAAATTCATTAGCAACATTATGTCTATTGTTCCTGCAAGTTATGAGCAACTTAGTGCCAGCCATCATACCAATGCAAAAAATGGGTGAGCTGTGTCACTGGCCATCCCTCCTCCCTTGAAATGCTGTGAATGAACCAGCATTGTCAATGGAGCTGTAACCAGAACAGTTTTTAATCACTTTGTCTGCATTTGGCATGGCACTAACTATAGTATAGTAAAAAGACACCGCAACTGTCTCAGAAATCCTACTGAAGAGAACTAACCACTCACCTCGTTTCCAGGACTAGCAGTAATTTAAAGGCTAAATGTACAGCACAGCACTTCCCACCTAGCTATTTCATTTTAATCTTTACACATCCTCTTACTAAAGCTCCCCTTTCCTCCTAGTCCACTCAAGCACACCTCCCCATGAAGCATCAGTATAACCTGAAAGTGATATCCCTTAAATGAAGTCATATTACCCAAGCAGGATCGAGCATCCCAGTTTGATTTAAAAACTGTACCTACCAGAGAGGAATTTGTTCTGCAACAGGTATGGGTTCTTACTAAGTCAACTATAGCGTGAGCATCACACTTCACAGTCCACCTTCATAAAGGTAATCTTGAATGGTAAGTCCCCAAGACCAGAAGCTGAACTCTGAGTCTGAACAGGAAATGCAGGAGGATGGGGTCATGAACGACAGACACACTCGTGTTCTTCATGCTGCATGGAGTTCAGTTTCATCCAACTAAATGTCTTACATCAAAAATATTACACACAGAGCAGACCCGTCGGGCCAGAAATGACTCAAGCAGTGTGTGCTGGATTACTGCACAGGGGTGGAATCCACTCGTGGAAAACACAGCAAAGAAACTTCTCCTTAGCCAGACATCCTAATCCTGAAAATCTTAATAGCCACAATTCAGCTCTGAAGCCTTTTTCAGAAAGGCCAGACTGAAGCACTGAATTCTTGTATGTGAGGGGTCTGATGGAAAAAATATCCCTGCAGCCTGTACTGAAGCAACGAGTCCTCCAGAAAAGATGCCCAGCTGGTGCAGGCTGTGGCCGAGTGTCACTGAAGCCAAGGGACCAGTGCCAGGTCACGTCAGCGAAGGTGCGGCTCCTCTGACTCCAGCAGGGCTACTGAGAGCTACAGGAATAACTTGCCTCAAGAAGGATTTGGAGGAACTCTGGTGGGCTCAATCCTCCTCGCAAATCCTCACAAGCTTCAACGGGGAACAGGATTTGGCTTAATATATTTAGAAAACTGAACTGCCTACCATTTTCTGGTCTCCAGAATTAAGAGATGCCACCTGGTTAAAAGTTTAGGGAGAGAAACAATTTTTAAGCTTGGACAATTCGTTAGAAATACTGCACAGCAACATCTGAAGGATGCACACCCCTTAAAAAGGGAAAGTCATATTTTCTGTTAAAGCCATTAAAAGCCACTGGTAAATTTAACAGATGACACTTAACTCTTCTCCTTGGGAAGAAGCCTTCCAAATCCTCTCACAGTTGCAACTAACAGAGAGGAGGATGGGGGGAAAAATTCTAGCTGGTGATCCACCACCACTTGCATGCCCCCTTCCCTTAGCAAGAGCATTCGTTCGTATTGCAAACCGTGCTCTTTGCTGCACCGTTTTAGTCCCACCATTTCTCGAGAATTTAATTTCATTTCTGCTTGCAAGTCGTACGCTGTTTTTCATTGTGTTCCTAAAACGGCAATAGTTTTTTTTCCTCCAAAGGCTGCTTTGCAACTTTGCGCTTTCTCTCACATTAGCGAAGGGTGGAAATTTCCACTGACGCACTGTTGATAACTGAAGGAGAAGGGGGGATGGGAGGATGAGCTGTTACAGCATATCTTTATGACTCCTCGCAGAATAGGTGTTTTATCTGAGGATACAAAACTGCAGTAATTGGGGACAATGCGAGTTTTTAAAAACAACCACCACTCTTCAATGTTAACAAGCAACGACTGCCTTCCTGTGCCAAAAAAGAGAGAAGGAAAAGAGGGCCAGCGTAAAAAAATATTATTGCTTCATTAAAGAAAGAGAAGAAACTAACGGCTACAAAACCAATAACCAAACACAATTGACAATGCAATCCCTGAGGAGATCTGGAACCCCTATCCCCAAATACACACATTTAAATCAGCTGTCATGAGGCCATGGGGTTTTTTTAACCCACCCTCACTAAGGCATGCAGCAACCTTAATTTCAGGCAGTGATCTATGACCCGATACACAACGCTGTAGCTACTGTTTGTGTAGTAAACAAAACCAAACCCCAGTGAGACTGAAAGATAGGGAAAAGTACAGGAATGCAGGAGGGAAACCACCTCATTCTTGCAAGCAAAAATGCAAAAGCATTTAGGCTCTCTAGGAGTCCGCCGAGTCATCAGGGGAGAAATGCAGGAAAATTCCACTGATTCACTACGAGACCACAGTTATTTTTGTCGTCCTGCTCGCCTGTAAATAGAAGGATGATTTGAATACAGGAGAGCAGACTGAAACATATTAAAACGATGCATTAACTGAAAAAAAAAATTAAAAATCGTATGATCTCAAGTAAAGGAAATATGCCTTTGCATATGAGGGGGGGAAAGCCAGGTTTCATTTACCCTTTTTAACATATTCAAGCCAGAAGTTGTTTGAACCTTGAGTCTTAAGGATACTCAAATATTTTGCTTTCAAATGGACAGTCTAGGACTTCAAAGAACCCTGAAAAGCACCTGGATCAGAACTCATTTTTAAATCCTCCTAGAATACAACTCTGTCAGCCTGGGGAGCCAAGGGAAAAGCAGACGTCCGGTGGACTTGGAAGAGGCTGTGTGGTCCCATGGTTGTGCCCAAAAAATGCCTGTATGCTTAAATTTCTCCTTTGCATAGTGGCAGTGAGTCTATGTAAGATCCCCCAGCGGGGAGGTGGAAGATACAAAGGAAAGAAAATGTTCTGACGAACAGGTAGAGATGAAGCATCGAACAGGGAAACAGGAAATCGCCTGGAGGAAAGCAAGCTGCGGCACTCACGTGAGAGCAGCTGGACATTCGTTCTCATTAAGGTAATCCTCTACAAATGAAATTGATTTGCTACTTGAATGACCACTTCATCTTTGGGACCACTGCGTTGCTCTGAAGAGAGGCAGTTTGCTTTTCTTCTCAACTCTGGTGGTAGCTACCCTTCTTCAGCAGGGCAGGCAGGCAAGTTCACGCTCAGAAGGATTATCATTTTGTAGCTGGAAGGACTAGTACATGTGTTACTTTCAGCTTTCAAAAAACAGGTATGGAATAGATGGACGTCCCTTGAAAATCACAAGGCCAGCAACTGGGAAGTACCAGATCAAAACCAAAAGCTGGTACCTTAGTAACTAGACTGTGCCACAGCAATGAAGCAAATAATCCACAATGAGCAAGTACTTTGGGGAAAAATAAATTTTACCATTCGCAGTCTTCAGAAATGTCGTTTGCCAAATTCTATACATAGACACCTGTTATTAAGCTAATTAAATAGTGGAAAGACATTTTGCAGCATTGCAGGAAAAAAAAAAAAATACTGTTAACACTGCAAAAGAGAAGCCAGCCTGACGTACTTGGAGTATTTGAAAAGTCATGCTCGCTGGGCAGCATTTGAAAAGTTTGCAAAATTGTTATGAGCAGGGCTGAAGTTACACAGCGAGTATTAATTCTGCTTGTCTCACTTCTCTGCCTTCTGTATAATTCACAGCTTAAAACCCACCAAAATGGTGACTGATTCCCATCCCACCAAGCCCACTATTTTAAGAGCAGCCATCACATTTAATCAATGTGCTCGCACAAGGACGGTACAGAATTTAATGCGTCAGAAAATGATACTGGCACCTCAACATCACCAACTATTGCACTGTGCCATTTCTTCTGAAAAGCACCAAAATTGCAAATTGCACTCCCACAGATAAGGTGAGGGGAAAAAAAACATTTCAGGGCTCTGATACCTGGGGCACATGCACAC